AGATACCTAGATGAGGAATAAGATTTGATACACATTCACATATGAATGGGTATATAATTAACACTCTCGCATTTAAAAGGGCACATACATGGTGGTGGTGGGGGTGGTGCTCTGTTGTTTGTACTGGGTACTCTGCGTGGGGCACCATCAGCGCCGAAGCGTTCGGGAGTGCCGCCAGGCTCGCCTACCATGTTGCTTTTAGTCACACTGGAAGTAAAGGTCTGTGGTACACAAGTGTTTATGAGTGTACTACAGGTACCATGAGGATAGGGATTGGAGATGCAAGGTGCAAGGTGCGAGTGCAAGACCAGGGGATCGATTGATGGCCTTAGGTAGTATTAATATATACAGGATGACTCAGTGAGGCTATGGTACGGATACCATCTACGAGTGGTGAATATATATATATATATATAATATAGAGCTTCACCTTACAACAAACCGACACCTACAACACTACCTAAAGTGCCACAAGAAAACACACGTAGCACTCCTATTTGATACGATCCAAGGCACACGGCAAAATCACACACAAACGACAGACAATGGGATAGACAACGCACCAGCGGTGCAGGGGTTGTATTCGTCACAGGCGAATGATTGCGTTGCCATGACAACGAGCCGTTATGGAAGTGAGTGCAAATCTCGCTCTGGCTGTTCACTGGCACTATCATGCTGCAGACATTTCCTTAACTGCTTGTTATATAACTACCCGTGTTAGAACTACTCGTGCTATAACTACTCGTGCTATAACTACCCGTGATATAACTACTCGTGCTATAACTACCCGTGCTATTGTTATAACTTATCGTGCTATAACTATGCATGGTACAGTTAGTATAGTGAGCGGCATACCTTTGTGCAGTTGGTGAACATCGGGGGTGGTGATAAATCGTCAATGGAACGGAACTTAAAGTTTTTGAGCATTCCTTGATCGTACACTTCGGGATCCGATGACCTGAGCAAAGTATTTTAGGGTTTAAGGTTTAGTAGCTAACACACTATAATGAACTTCGCATAATATTATAGAGGATTTGTATATATGATAGGACAGTAGTCAACAGACTATGATAGTGTGTGGAAGTGGTGTCGCTAATTAATCTTATAAAGTGCTGCACATCAACCTCACAGGACAATATAAGGCAATATAAATGAAGGCTTTCCGAATAGAGTGTGAAGCACACATATTCAACTTAAAAAGTATATAC